AGACCCGAGGACGTCTCTCAGACCAGCGTCCGTTTGGGGCTCCCCGACTCTAGGGGGCGACTCTCTCACCCGGAAGAAAGCTATTTGTAAAAACCTCAAAAACAGCGCAAGCAGGTACCCCAGTATGCAGGAGCCAGACGAGAGGGTGGGCGCCCCCTTCTCCAAGCTGAACGTCCTCCCAGAACTCTGGCGGGAGGGGCGGAGCCGCCTTGGCCCCGCTGCAGTTCCTGTTATCGACACGCGGGGGAACCAGAGCAGCAAAGAGCTGCCACAAATACCGTAATTTCTGCGGTTGTGAGCACACGTAATCTGTCCCCACTACCGTAATGACGGTGACGTAGGCCAGAGGGGCGCGAAGAGGGAGAGGCCTGAGAGTACAGGCTGTATGTAGTCTGTAGTCTGACCTGAGGTTGGCTAGGTCGGCGGTGAAGAAAGAGGCACGACGGGGAAAAGCGAGTGCCCACCAGCTCTGACTCACCCAGCTGGGCCCTCTCTCGGGGCTTCCTGCTGCTCTGTTTCCTGAGCGGTTCCCCAAATTGTGGGTGGAAGTCCTTGAAAGCTAGGCCAAGGACTTGGTGCATGAGGGTGGGATGAGGAAGAGTTGCAGCGGGGATATAAGTAAATGTGAGATTGACTGCCTCAGGCCTTTCTAAACCAGAGGGAAAAGATAGAATGTTCACACAGAAAGTTTTGGAGTTGACTGTGGGTTCCTGTTAGAGTAATGTACATTTTTAAAAACTGCAGAACAGGGCAAATGCTTAACCCAAAAGAATGTATAAAGACCTAATTTTGAGAGAGGTGTTTGCCTGGAGAAGGGATGGGATGACCTGGCATTCCTGGGTTGGGTAGTGAAGCAGTTTTGTGTGGCAGGGGCAGGGGCCAGTCCTCATTGGCACCTGGGGTCTGGGTCCCAAGCCTCTGTAATGTTGCCTAGCCCTGGCTAGTGTGGCCCAATTGGTTGGATGTCGCTCTGTGCACAGAAAGGTCACTGGTTCAATTCCCAGTCAGGGTACATGCCTGGGTTTTAGGCTCTATCCCCAGTCAGGGTGCATGCAGGAGGCAGCCAATGGATGTTTCGCTCTCACATCAGTGTTTCTCTCTCTCTCTCTCTCTCTCTCAAAACAATAAAAACATATTTAAAAAAGAAGGTTGCCTACTCCTGGTCGGTGTGGCTCAGTGGTTGAGTGTTGACCCATGCACCAAGAAGTCGCTGGTTTGATTCCTGGTCAGGGCACATGCCCAGGTTGTGGGCCAGATCCCCAGTTGGGGGCATGCAGGAGGCAGCCAATCAATGTTTCTCTCTCATCGATGTTTCTATCTCTCTCTCTCCCTTCTTCTCTCTCTAAAATCAATAAAGAAAAAAAAATTTTGTTTAAACAAAGAAGCTTGCCTATCCATAGGCAGTGTCCAGTGTCCATAGGCGGTGCCCATCAGCCAGCATGCTTCAGGGTAGGGAGGGGTTGGGGTGGGTGGACAGAGGGGGAGATAATGGGAGAAGCACAGGAGCTGGGAAATACTTTCATTCTCCAGTTTCCTCGCCTGGAAGGTGGTGATAATAATACTACCTAATGCAAAGGGCTGTTGTGAAATTCAATGAGCAGGTGTTCTGAAAAGTGCTCTGCAACCAGTGCAAAGGCTAGGCAGGAAAATTCCTCTGTGGACACCCCCTGACTGCCCCAGACTCAAAATGCTGCTTTTTCCTGGGGGCTCCCAGAGCCCATGGTCCAGCCTTTGATGCCAGCCCGGGCCTCAACAGGGATAACTATTTGTTTTGCCTGTATCATCCCTACTAGACTGCTATCCCCAATCTAATCCCTGCCAGAATGTGAACATTTCAGGGCAGGTATGATGGCTGATTCATCCTTGTATTCGTTCAAAACAAGGCCTGATAATACTTGGCAAAATGATACTAAGTTCATCTAAAAAACAAATGTGCAAACAGATAGCAAAGTTATGAAAACAAAAGTTGTGGAGGGGAAAATGGGACCAGATATGGAAACATCAGACTTTTAAAAAATGTACACATACTTTATGCTCAACAACTCCATTTCTAAGAATCTACACCACAGAAATAGCAGTGATAAGGCAGAGATAAATATGCAAGGATGTTTGCTGCAGTATTGTTTGTAACTATAGCAAAGACTTGGAACCAACCCAAGAGTCCATCAGGAAAGGATGGTGAAATAAATTAAGGTATAGCCATACAATGGCATGCTGAGCAGTGGTTAAAAAGAACTGAGTGGATCTGTAAGTGCTGATGTAGGAAGAATCTCTAAAAGATAGCAAGATGCAGAACAGGAAATATAGTATGAGTCCATTTCTTTAAAAACATTCTCCCACCATTGCTTCAATTCTTTATTTGTCAAAGCTCCCTTCCCTGTCCCACCCAGGATATCAATCTGGCAGATCCTTTGTTTCACAATCCCTTTAAGATATTAAAAGTCTAGTCTGACCCAATTTTTAAAAATTTGTTTATTTTGTTAATCCTCACCCAAGGATATTTTTACATGGACTTTTAGATAGAATGGAAGGGAGAGTGAGAGAGGGAAAAAGAGAGCGAGAAACAGCAATGTGTACATCAATTGGTTGCCTCCTGCACAACCCCGAACAAGGCTGAGGATCAAACCTGCAACCTAGGTATATGCCCTTGACTGGGAATCAAACCCACAACCCTTTAGTCTGAGAGCAAACACTCTTAACTGCTGAGCCAAACTGACCAGGGCTGGTCTGACCCAATTTAAATTTCAAGCTCTTTACATCTTCCAAATACATATAGGACAGATACATACCAGCTTGTCATTTTAACTCATTTATTTCTCACCACAGCCATCTGAAGTAGGTACTGTGATTATCATCCCCATTTTGCAGTTGAGGAACTTATGATATAGAGAGAAGTTAAACAATTTTCCCGAAGTCACATAGATCATAAATGACAGAGCCAGAGTCTATGGCTCCAGAATCTATGCTCTTATCTACTGTCACCCGAGGCTCACAGAACCACGAATTGGACTTTTTCTTGTCTCAGGCTTATAGCAGGCACAGTATATATCATTAACTAGATATATTTAAATTAATTTACCCATTCCTCTAATGAAGGGCGGATAAATTGTTTCCAGTCTTGTGCTTTCACAAACAATAATGCAATGAATGTCTTTGTTCAGGTGCAAACATTTCAGTAGGTTAATTCATAGAATCTATGCGATTGCTGGGCCAAAAGGGTGAATTTAAATTTGGATAGCTATTTCAGATATCCATGGCTGTATAATAAACGATTCCAAAACTTGGTGGTTAAAACCACCATTTTATTTTACTCATTATTTTGTGTGTCAGGAACTCAGGAAGAGCTCAGCTGGATGGTTTATCTTTGATTCTCTTCCAGGCTGGCGTCATTACTCACATGACCGGGCCTCCGTGCTGCGTGATCGCTCTCTCCACATGCTGTTGGACCCCGAGCTTCCCCACCTGGTTTGGGCTTCTCACAGCACAGTGACATCAGGGAGTGCAGTTCAGGTAACCTGGCAGTTGGCTTGCAAGAGGTAAGCAGTGGAAGCTGCTGGGCAAGTTAAGATATACACACTTGGAACTAGAACGTTATCACTTTTGCTGTATTTTACTGGTCAGAGAACTCACAAACCAGCCCAAATACAGGGAAGGGAACATAGACCCCACCTCTCTATTTGAGAAGTGTCAAAGAATGTTTGGCTACCTTTACTCCACAACAATAGCTATTTCTAAATCGCCCTCCAAAATGTCGGTCAGCTTATATTCCCACCAACAATGTAAGAGTCTTTCATTGTAAAACATTTTTATTGGTACTCATGTGGCAGTTGAAAATAGTATTTGTTATTTTGTTATGCCTTTCGTTAATTATGAGTGAAGTTGAGCATCTTTTCATGTGTTTACTGTTCTTCTTCTTTTCTTTTTAATCCTCACCCGAAGATATCTTTCCATTGATTTTCAGATAGAGTGGGAGGAAGGGGGGGGGGGTGAGAGAAGAAAAAAAAAACAGTGATGTGAGAGAGACACATTGATTGGTTGCCTCCTGTATGAACCCAACCAGGGCCTGGGGATTGAATCCCAAACAAGGTATAAGCCCTTGACTAGAATCGAACCCGAGACTCTTTGGTCTGCAGGCCAACACTCTAAATGCTGAGCCAAACTGGCCAGGGCTACTGTTCATTTTTAAATTTTCTTTTCTTGTGATTGTCTTTTCTCATTTTAAAATTTGGTTGTCTGCCCAGCCAGTGTGGCTCACTGGTTGAGCATCAACCCATGCACCAGGAGATCACTAGTTCGATTCCCAGTCAGGGCACATGCCCAGGTTGTGGGCCCGATCCCCAGTGGAGGGCATGCAGGAGGCAGCCAGTCGATGTTCTCTCTCATCAATGTTTCTATCTCTCTCCCTCTCCCTTCCTGTCTCTCTAAAATCAATAAAGAAAAAAAATTTTTAATAATAATAAAATTTGGTTGCCTATTTAAATATTAATTTCTAAAATGTGTATATTAAGGAGATTAGCTCTTTATGTGATAGTATGTTACAAATAGTTTTCCCAGTGCGTGGCCTTTGACTTTGTTTTTTGATCGTTTTCTTCATTCAGGTTTTTAGTTGTTGTTTTTTTGCTTTTTTAAATAAAAAGTGCACAGGGTTTTTATTATGTGTAACATAGGCACAATTATTTAAAGTTAATACTTGTTTAAAAATTTTTATTCCTCACCCGAAGATACTTTTCTATTTATCATCAGATTGAGTGGGAGGAAAGGAGGGAGAGAGAGACAGAGAGAAACATCGATGTGATAGAACCACACTGACTGGTTGCCTCCCACACAACCCGACCGGGGCTGGGGATGAACTGCAACCGAGGTACATGCCTTTGACCAGAATCGAACCCGCGACTCACTGGTCTGCGGGCCGACGCTCTAACTGCTGAGCCAAACCAGCCAGGGCAAAGTTAATATATTTTTATTTAAGGAATTTCATGTGTTCTGAGTCCTTCCACACACTGCCTTAGTTTCTCCTGAATTTGACTCTTAATCCCTTTTTTTGCTCAATCCAGCTTGTCATTTCAGTCAGTCCTATAGAATAGAAATAGAAATGATCATGAGATCACAAACTACTGGTCACTAGCAACCTGGAAGGATTACCTAGACAGAGGACATCTGCGAGACTCCAGAGATCTAAGGCAATTATGTAAAATCTCGCTGATTACCAATGGCTATTACAAAATCACATATAGCTTGTGCTATATTTATACTGGACAGTGCTGATCTAAGCAATGCAAATAAGTAAGGATTAAGAAAATGCTCCCAATAGGCTGAATCATACCAATGTAGCAGAAAGAAAACCTAATGGGAAAATATTTTGTGGTCATGTCCACAGCAAGTGAGAAACTGCATTCTACAAGCCTTGGAAATGACCACAGGTTTTTCGTTTTTCATGTGTTCACATTATCCATCTTTTACTTTAAGGCTTCTGGGTTTTGTATGGTATGTTCCTTTCCTTTTTCAGAACTTTTCTGTTGGTTTCAAATGTTTATTTTTCCAGAGGAAGATTAATATCGTTTTCTGAGGCTCCCTCCCCAATACTGTTGGTGTTTGGATTGGAATAGCTTTCAGTTGTTAGACTTTTTAGAGCAAATGTACAACTTTACAATTGAAGGGCTGGGCTGGACATCACCTTTGGAGTCTTCTCTTCTGTTGGACACTGAGGCTTGTTGAGAGGTGACAGTGCCATCTCAGGAAGGCCATAATACCCGGGGCACCTGTGGGGGAGGGAGCCCAAGAACCCAGCAAGGGCAGCCCTGTGACCAGGTGGGCCCCACACAGACCTGTCCCTAGGAACCCAAGGCCTAGCCAAGAGACACCTAGAACACAGTCCCTGGTTTACAACTCCGGGACCTCCTGCAGGGTAAGCTCAGGCCTCCTTGAAGGAAACGTCCCTTGGAGGCCCAGGAGAGGGGCCAGACGTGCCCTCAAAGAGCTGATTCACGAGGTAGGAGATTTCACAGAGCAGCGCCTTGTTCAGGAGACCAAACGCACTAAGGCCTTTGCCAAGGACAATCCTACTGGTCTCAACATCACAGCCTTGGGGAAGGGCAGGGATCTGCTCCAGGAGCCACAGGCTTGGGGGGCTGCTCGGAGCACAGGCTTTCCTTCCCTCCACAGCCAGGCTCTGCTGGATTCTGCCCAGTCCTGGAGCGCCAGACAGCACCATCCACCCACTCCTTCCCAGACAGGAGCCCGGAGGTTCCCAGGGAGACTGAGTGGGCACTCATTTGTTCAGGGATTATTTATGGAGTGTCTGCTATGTCCTAGTCAGTGGAGAATTTAAAAAACTAAAATTTCTGTCTTCTGGACCTTAGAGACAATAAAAATAACCATAGTGAACAGGTAAATATGTCAGGACATAAGTGCCATGGGAAAAGATGGGCAAGGAAAGAGGACTTGGGGGTGGGGGTGGGGGTGGCTAATGGTAGGGGACCCTTCATTGGCTCTCCAGCCTGGTTCACCAATTCGGAGCTCATTCAGGAGAGCCAGGAAGGAGGGAGGTGTTTATGTCCCTGGCTCCCTCCCTGCTGGTCCCTGCTCCTGTCAGGTGGCCTTACCCACAATTCTCTCCTTCTTGGTTCCAGCAGCCACTTCTTCCCCTCCCTCTCCAGCCTGGGCTCCTGGGCAGACACTGTGCTGTCCTTTGGGGTTCCCTTACATCCCATCCACACCTTTGCAGAGTCCTCGAATAGTCCTAATTTGAGTGCTGTATGGTGCTGGGATCCTGAGAAATACGGTGCTATCTGAGCAGGACCGTCGGGCTCTGCAGACAGACAAGGAATCGTGTTCTGAGCAGAGGGAACTGCCAGTGCAAAGGCCTGGGGATGGGGGGGCAGGCCTGACCTGTCTGAAGGAAAGCAAGACAGAGGAAGGGACGGGGAGAGGAGTAGGAACTGTTATCAAAAACAGGTGTGCTGCCCTGGCTGGTTTGGCTCAGCAGTTAGAGCGTCGGCCTGCGGTCCAGAGAGACCCGGGTTCAGTTCCCACTAAGGGCATGTACCTCAGTTGCAGTTTGTCCCCGGCCCTGGTTGGGTCGTGCAGGTGGCAGCCACTCGATGTGTCCCTTTCACGTCGATGTTTCTCTCCCTCTCTCTCTCTTCCTCTCTTTCCCTCCTGCTCTATCTGAACAAAAAATGAAAAAATGTCCAGGAGTGAGGATAAAAAAACAAAAACAAAAAAAAACAGGTGTGCTGAGAGGTGCAGGCGTGGCTTTTGCTGAGTGAAGCAGGGGACACTGGAAGGCTTCTGTCTGAGGAGTGACATAATCTTTAACACGACTGAGAACAGACTATGGGGGCCAAGGGCAGAAACAGGGAGGCCAGTGAGGGGCAACTGCAGTTTCCCAGGTGAGAAACAGAGGTGGCTCAGCTGGCAATGGGGAATGAATGGGTCAATAGGATTTGCTAGGATCGGACGTGGGGTGTGAGAGAAAGGAGGCAAGGATTCTGGCCTGTTGGATCTAGCATGGCTACTAGGTTTCTCATGGCTTCTGTGCATCTACCCAGCCTGGCTCTCCTATCCTGTCCCTCTGGGTGGGGTGGGGTGGGGTGGTGTGTGTGTGTGTGTGTGTCTGTACATGTGTGTGTCCCCTGTCCCTGGGATGTACTGCAGACCCATCTCTTCTCTGGCAAGCCTAGAGATCTGCCAGCCTCTGCCAGGAGGGGCCTCAAGCAAGTCGCAGCCCCCTCTGTTTGGGACCGTCTATCTGCTGATCCCTGGGTCAGGAGTGGATTCAGCCCTGGGGCACTGGGAAGGGAGGCTAAGCCAGGTCCCCAGAGGCAGCCTCAGTGAGTTGACTGTTACCTTATCAGTGACCTGCTTTCTGGGGCACTCCCAGACCCAGCTTTCTTCAGCCTGGGTTCTGCAGGTTAGCCAGACCTGCACGTGACCTGCTTCCTCTGCTATCAGCTGGCTGCCTCTCAGGCTCCTGCCCTCTGTGGGGCCTGCTCAGGGATGGCCCAACCCCCTTCCTCGTGGCCTTCAGCAGCCTTGCCCCCACCCCTGCTGGATGTGGTCTTTTAAAATCCCAGTTTGGAGCGCCTCCTCCCACAGCATCCTGTGGGGTCACTTGGCTGGACTTTTACTGCCCTAGTCCCTGGTGAGTGCCTTCTGGGCCAGCCAGGCCTGGCCTCCACTGATAACAACGCCACCACAGAGCACTGTCCCTGAGCCAGCTCTGTGCCGAGCTTTCCACAGGTCTGCTGGGTCCATCAGGTACAGAGGGTTGGTTATAAGAGTGGCTTCTAGGGTACAAGCTCTGCCACTGACCTGTTTGTGACCTTGGGCAGTCACCTAACTTCTCCAAGCCTACATTTCCTCAGCTGGTCTCGTGGTATCCCTCGCATACTTGGAGACCCTTGGAAGTACTTTCTGAATAAGTTACCGCGTGCAACACACTTAGCACAGTGCCTGGCCCATAGTGCGTGCGCAATACAAACCAGCTATTTAAATCATCACCATCTCCAGATGGAGAAACTGAGGCTCAGAGAGGAACGGATCTTGTCCAAGGTCACAGAGCTGGAACATGGTGAGGACAGGTTCTCCTGTGCCTTGACCCATCAGTCTACCCTCCCTCTTCTTTCCCGCCTCTGTGAGGCCAGCTCAGGGTAGGTGTCAGCCCACAAATGTAGAAGCCACAAGCTTACACTCTTAGAACTCTAGAGAGAAGGGAGGCCCCTGTCATGATGGGCGATACAAAGAAGAATTCAACAATCTCAGCCCTCAGGAAGGGAGCCATGGGGTTCAGCATCCCTCCCTACACAGAGGATCCAGGAAACCTCCATGGAGGCGTGACACCTGGGATCCTGGTACATGACTGACTAGGCGAATCATTCAAGAAATGGGGACTGCACAATCTGAGTTTTTAAAGACAAATTTTTTGTTTTGTTTTGTTTTTTATCCTCATCCGAGGACATTTTTCCATTTTTTGTACAGACAGAGTGGGAGGGAGAGAGAGGAAGAGAGAGAGAGGGAAACATCGATGTGAAAGGGACACATCAAGTGGCTGCCACCCGCACGACCAACCAGGGCCGGGGACAAACTGCAACCGAGGCACATGCCCTTAGCGGGAACCGAACCCGGGTCTCTCCGGACCGCAGGTGGACGCTCTAACCGCTGAGCCAAACCGGCCAGGGCTAAAGACAAATTTTTAACATCCTATTCCACCTGGCCAATGTGGCTCAGCGGATTATGCATGGTCCCATGGACTGAGAGGTTCCAGGTTCAATTCCCAGTCAGGGCACATGCCCAAGTTGCGGGCTCGATCCCCAGTAGGGGGTGTGCAGGAGGCAGCCAATAGATGTTTCTATCTCTCTCTCCTTTCATCTCTCTCTCTAAAAAACTCAATAAAAACATATTTAAAAAAAAATTTTTAATCCTCACCTGAGGACATTTTTCCATTTTTTGTTCAGATAGAGTAGGGTGGGGGGGAGAGGGAGAGAGAAACATCGACGTGAAAGAGACACATCGAGTGGCTGCCACCCACACGACCCAACCAGGGCCAGGGACAAACTGCAACCGAGGTACATGCCCTTAGAGGGAACCGAACCCGGGTCTCTCTGGACCTCAGGCTAATGCTCTAACTGCTGAGCCAAACCGGCCAGGGCTATAAAAATTTTTTTAATAAAATAGCCCTGGCTGGTTTGACTCAGTGGTTAAAGCGTCAGCCTACAGACCAATGAGTCGCAGGTTCAATCTCGGTCAAGGGCACGTAAGTAGGTTGCAGTTCCACCTCAGCCCTGGTCAGGATTGTGCGGGAGGCAACCAGTCCATGTGTCCCTTTCACATGTCAATGTTGCGCTCTCTCTCTCTCTTTCCCTCCCTCCCACTGAAGATAAATGGAAAAATATTCTCGGGTAAGGATTAAAATATAAATAAAATTAAATAAATAAATAAATAAAATATTCTGTCCCATTTTTGGAATAAAGCATCAAGAGCTCCCAAAGACTACAATATCGTGGCACTTAAATGACCTCTCACCGCCAGATGGGCCACAAAAATCCAGGTTACTTCCCACATCCTGAGCTCAACTTGGGGAATTAGGGTCTCCATCATGTGGGGTACATTATGCCAGCTTCCCCATTTTGTGGGTGTGTGCCTATTCACACAGACACTAACACCAGCCCAGGCTTAGGGCACCCTCTCTCCAGCCATTAGGTGACTCTGTGGCTGGAGTGAGCACCTTCACCCCTGCCAGCAACAATCCTATCCCCAGTACTGGGGGCGCTGTAATGGCTAGGGAGGCCTTTGGAATCCTCAGAGATCAGAGGAGTCTCTTGGCTTGCACACTTCTTCACAGCACGAAGGACAGGCCCTGGCTTAGGTGACAGCGAGGTCGCAGCTAGGGTGCGTGCTAGCTCCCTCTCAACTGGCTTTGCAACCTCAGCATGTTGCTGCAGACCTGTCTTTGGCTTTGACTCCTGCCAAGACTTTTGGTTTTGGTTTCTGAGAGCAGAAATGTGTCCTACACTTCCCCTCTGCTGCCTGCCACACTCTCCTCCTCCTCCCTTGTCTTTGCCCCTCCTTCCCTCTCCCACCCTGGTGGGAAATGGCACCCTGGTCCCTGGCTCTGAGGGAAGGGGTAAGGAAAGGAAGAGGGGGTAAGGGAAAGCAGTGAGGAGAGTTGCTCGGGACCTCACTTCATTTTCAGGGCTGGCTGGCCACTCACAGTTGTGCAAATTGTGGACTGCACAACTCTAGGGGATGCAGTCACAATAATGTCACCAAAATCTGCAGGTTTTGGCACACTTTTCAGATGGGTGGCAGTCAAGTGTACTGACAGGGGGCATCTTTTCCTAAATTGTCTGAAGTGCTCTGAGTGAGATGAAGGAGCTGAGTGCATTTTGGCTCTGACCCCCCCAAAGGCCCCACGCCAGCCGGTGTCCCACAAGCCACCTTCCCCCCAGGCGTTGCCCTCTAACCGACTTCACTGCGCAACTTCTCAGCTGGGCTAGAGCCCCAGTGAGAGACTCGGGTTCAAAAGACGCTGGCCAATCACCGTTAGGGCCATTTGTGGGACCCCAAGCAAGTCTCTTTCTTTCTGAGCTTCAGTTTCCCTATCTGTAATATGTGGACAAAATGGAGTAGACAAAATTATCCCTAAGGGGCTCTCCAGACTCACACCTGAGTCCCTGCTGAGGAGCCTGGGAGGCAAACAAGTGACAGGTTTAGCCTCAGGGTCCTCGTCACTCTGAAGGAAGGATGTTATTGGTCACCTTACTAAAAGCAGAGCTCAGAAGGGATTCTTTTGTTGAAGAATGATGGTGGGGATCCCATGAGTCACCCAGAGGGAATGCTGTGACCTGGGCAGGTCTCCTACCCTCTCTAGACTTCAGTTTCTTCCCCCATGAAATGGGTAACAATACTCACCTGTGCAGGTGGCTGTGCGAATTAAAGGGAACACTGTATCAAAGACTGGCATGGGGGGGTGCTCAGAGAAAGGCAGAGGAAAGGGGACCTGTGGGACTCAGGGGAGCAGGGCCCCGAAGCTCTGACAGAGCTGCGCCCGTGGAGCACAGCAGCCCTGTGACTGTCACTGCCTGAACTCATGTTCCAGGGCAGGAAACCTACCCCATTTCCTCTGGGTCTGACAAGCCGCCCCTGTCTTTCCTCCCACTGTAGGCTCCCCTCCCCTCTGCATGACCACACTTCCGGGAGGATGCCTAGGGCCTGCACAGCTCTACGGGAACCCCAAAGAGCCAAAATCCCTTAGCCCGGCATATAAGGCCCGCTCCTTATGTCCCCACAGTCCCTCAAGGCAGTCACCTTGAGTTTCTTGACACCTCCAAACAAACCATGCATGGTCACCCATCCATACCTTTGCCTATCTATATCCCTGCGGTCACGTGCCCTTCCTTCCCCCTCTCCCTCCCCCAAGATAGTAAATCCTGCTCATTGTTTGGGGCCCAGCTCAAATGTCACCTTCTCTGGGAAGGCTTTCCTTGTTCTTCCAGTAAAGAAAATAATCACCTTTCCTGTTGGCTCGGGCAGCCCACGGTCTTGTGGAGCCGAGTCAGTCAAATCCCCACCCAGCCTCAGTGCCCTGACCTATAGAATGGAGGCAAATCGATTGTACCTAAGGAGAGGGTGTTGGAAGAACTCAATAAAAGGGGGCACATAAAGCCCTAAACAGTGTAGACACACACAGAGTTCCTGCCGATAATCCCTGGTTGAAACTTCAGTTCCAGCTGGCCAAGCCCTGCAGGGAGCAGGAAGCATGTGTCAGGCATCCTTTCCACCCATCTATTCCAGCTTTTTTTTTTTTTTTTCTTTCTCTCTTTCTTGATTTTAGAGAGAGAAGAAGGGAGAGAGGGAAAGAGAGAAACATCCATGATAGAGAGCATTAAGCTACCGCCTCCTGCACGCCCCCTACTGGGGATCGGGCCCACAACCTGGGCATGTGCCCTGGCTGGGAATCGAACCAGGGACCTCTTGGTGCATGCGTCGCCACTCAGTCCACTGGGCCACACCGCCGGGCATATTCCAGCTCTTTTCAGTGGGTCCTGAGGTTCCCGCACAGGGACACTGCCAACACACAGCTCATTGGAACATCAACAATGATTGACAGGCCCTGAGTCCAATAGCTGCCCTACTCCTTCCTGGAACAGGTTGTCTGTCCCACTGCGCTCTTTGGGGCCTTGGCTTGAGGAAGGCTGAGGCCTGGAGTCATTTGGGGTATAGGTCTGCTTTCCACCGGTGCCCTTGTGTCAGCCTGGGCGGCCTGACCGTCACACTGATGACTCAGGTCTACTCCCCACCCTTCCCCTTCAGGAAGCGGCCCTGTCATAATCGCAGTTGTGCTACATAAAAATAGCTTCAGTTCACAGATACATGAACACCAGGCTTTTTCATTAAGGGAAGAGGAAGGCCATTTTCCCACCCGCATCCCCGCGGACCAGCTTCAAAATCGGATTCTCCGGGGTGGGGTCCTCACACTTCTCGGTGGGTGGCTCCAGCAGCTGCTTCCTCCCCGGCTTCGGTGCAGAAGGCTTTTTGCTGCTTTGCAGTCAGCTTCTCACATTTTCTCATTTGCCCCTCCCACCAGAGACGTGGGGCTGAGTAACTGAGGTTATTGTACCCATTTTGCAGGCGCGGAAACCCAGACCAAGGGAGGGGAGGGGAGTTGCCCAAGACCACATGGTAAGCTGGTGGTGGAACCTGTCCGCACATGACACAAAGTTCTTTCTGCTCCAGCCTACACCTCCTCCTTGGAAAATACTGTGGCCACAGCCAGGGCAAAGAGACAAAGAGGAGGAGAGAACAGCTAGACAGAGCACTGATTTAAGGAGCAAGACATTCATGCAAGAAACATTTGCCAAATTCCGACTATATGCCAGGCACCATTCTAGGCACTAGGGATGCAGCAGGGAACAAATAAGAGGTTCACTTCCTGTCCCATAGAGCTTACAGTTTAACGGAACGAGAGCTTACATTAATTGAACATGTTCTTTTTTTTTTTTTAAATCCTCACCAGAGGACATTTTTCCATTTTTTTTGTTCAGATAGAGTAGGAGAGAGAGAGAAAAACATCGACGTGAAAGAGACACATTGAGTGGCTGCCACCCCCACGACCCCAACCAGGGCTGGGGACAAATGGCAACCAAGATACGTGCCCTGAGGGGGAACCGAACCTGGGTCTCTCTGGACTGCAGGCTGGCACTCTAACTGCTGAGCCAAACATGTTCTTTATACCAGATGATTTACATGGAATTTATTTAAATTTTTTTTTTTTTTTTTTTTTGGTTAATCCTCACCTGAGGATATTTTTCCATTGATTTTTAGATAGAGTGGAAGGGGGGGGGAAAGAGAGAGAGAGAGAGAGAGAGAAACTTTGATGTGAGACACATCAATTGGTTGTCTCTGGCACGACCCCCACCGGGGCCAGAGATCAAAGAACCTGCAACCCAGGTAGGTGCCCTTGACTGGTAATCAAACCCACAACTCTTTGATCCACAGGCTGATGCTCTAACTGCTGAGCCAAATCAGCCAGGCATTTTGGGTTTTGTTTATTTGTTTGTTTTTTGTTAATCCTCACCCAAAATATTTTTCCATTGATTTTTATAGAGAGTGGAAGGGGGGGAGAGAGAGAGAAACATGGATTCAACCTGCAACCCAGGTACGTGCTCTTAACAGGGAATCAAACCCATGGCCCTTTGGTCCTTCAACCAACGCTCTAACCTCTGAGCCAAATGGGCCAGGGCAAGGAACTTATTTATAATTCTTACCCACCCCCATAAGGTGGCATATTGGACAGTTGTCATTTCTGTTGACCACCCAGCATTTGAAACATCTTCCTATGTGTGGGGTATTCTTCACTCATGAAGGAGAGCCCAGCTTCTATAACTGAGACTAAGTATGCCGGATACTCCCTTTCCCAGCCTCCCTTGCAGCTGAGGATGAGTATGTGACCAGACTTGGCTAATCAGCGTGACCACCCCAGGACCTGGTGTTGAAGCAGTGACTGTACAGATCCATCATGGCGGTCAGTTAAGGCAGTAACAACAGGAGCCTCATCTGGCTTCCAGGGGCACCAGCAGCCATTCACAGGGACAAGGTCCCTCATTCACTGCTGATGGAACTAGTGTCTGTGCCCAGTGGTGGCAGCTAGTGTTGTTCCTCCAGTTCTGCAGAGATAGAGTATTTCTCCATCACTAGTTTAAAAAGTGGGGGGTCCTGCCTGACCTGTGTGGCTCAGTGAATTGAGCATCATCCCATGGACTGAGAGGTCCCAGTTCAATTCCTGGTCAGGGCACATGCCCCGGTTATGGGCTCAATCCCCAGTAGGGGGCGTGCAGGAGACAGCCCATCTGTGTTTTTCTCCCGCATCGATGTTTCTATCTCTCTCTCCCTTCCTCTCTCTCTAAAAAAATTAATAAAAACATATTAAAAATAAAATAAATAAAAATAAAAAGTGGGGGTCCCTTATACTGCCCCCCAGAGAAAGTGGGTGGGGTGGGCAGCTTCTGGAAATGACAAGGAGCCTGGGGTCAGGGTTAGGCTTTCTCTAAGGTCTTTCAGCCTGAACCCAGTGGCCTGGTCTAGGGTAGAGGTGGGCACTAAGTGGTCTCAGAAGCCTGCACCTAGTAGCTGCACAATCATCCTTGCCCCTATCTATTCTCAGGCTGTCTCTCCTTTCCTACCCATCCTCCTCTCCATCCCACTGTTCCAAGCCCGGTTCTCGCCCCATGAGCCCTGTCTGGATACCTGCAACAGCTCTTCCTTGGTCCTCCTGCCTCAGCCTCGTCTCCTTGAATCCATTCACTACCATCCATCATCCTGGAATCAGAGTGAGCCTCTGGAATACGATACTAATGGATTCATACCCCTCCTTAAGCACCTTCCAAGACATCCTTTCATCCAAACACCTTTGCCTGGCACTCAAGGTCCTTCCAACCTCTCTGACATGCATGTCAATCCTCTGGCCCCATCCCAGATCTCCGACCATACCCCCCTCAGTCGCTCCCTGCTCCATTTCTACCATGCCCTTCCCTAACCTTGCACCTTCTTGCACTATGCACCACCTTTGCTCATGCTGTTCCCTCTGCTAGGAAATCCCTTCCTGGTCTTCTCTGCTTTTCTCTCCAATAAACTCTCATTCATTCTTAAAGCAGCTTCAAATGCTAACTTGTCCATGAAGCTTCCCTCAAGTCTAGATTTCCAGTAATACTACGGGAACTTCCCTGAGAAGTTCGGTGGCATCCTATGGGTGTGCAGGGTGCTGCTGCCTGAGCAGTTACTTTGGCATGAAGAAAGGCATGCTTGTGGGACTGTGAACCTGGGCTCTTAGTCAAACAGACCCCAGTTCAAATCTAGGCTTTGCCATTTACATGCTGGGCCATTGTGGGCAAGTCAGTTAACCTCTCCAAGGCCCCATTTCTTCAGCCTCAATGGGCCCCTGTGACACTTTGGTGGTCTCTCTGTCAGTCTGCCCTGTGAACTGTGAGCAGCCCCTCCAGGCCAGGACTGATGGGCATCCACCATGGGGCCCAGGCTGGGGTGTGAGACTTTACTACCCAGAGAAGCCCCATCTGATACGCTTGTCTAAACTCCTCCCCTTCAAATCCACTCTCCACTATGGAAATAGAAGTCAGGTCAGAGGGCATAGGTGGGAGCCTCTGATTGGGCATCTCCTGGCACAAAGAGAAGTACACAGATGTGTCCCATCTGTGTGCCTAAGGGCTGACTAGTACAAGCATGACTCTGTGTGTGTGCACACAGCTGTGCACAAATTTGGGGAGGAGGTGAGTGTGTGTATGTTGGGGCACATGCATTTGACTGTGTGTATATGTGTCGCTGCTGTGGTTATCAGTGCAGAGCAAAAATGCCCACACTTCCTGTTAAGAATCAGTTAGAGCATTTTTTTTTCCTTTATTGGTTTTAGAGAGAGAGGAAGTGAGACGGAGAGAAAGAGAGAAACATCAATGAGAGAGAATATCAATTGGCTGCCTCCTGCACGTCCCCCACTGGGGATCGGGCCCACAACCTGGGCACGTGCCCTGACTGGGAATCGAACCGGCGACCTCTTGGTGCATGGGCCGACGCTCACTGAGCCATGCTGGCCGGACAGAGCGTGTTTTATAGAAGCCCTAAACCTCCCTGGGAGCATC